ACCAAATCTTTAAAAAGCTCATGGAAAAAACATGAAATGTGAAAAAAACCTGCATAAACTTTTTTCTTCATCAAAATAAGCATTTTTTTCTTAACTCATCTTTTGAGTCCATTCTGTCATGCAAAGCTTTTGAATTGCCTCCCTGAGAAACTAGGGTAATATATAGAGATTAATTGCTTCATTTTACATACAGTTAAAAATATGCTTTGGCAATTATATTTTGAGAATTTCATTGTTTTTGGCATGATACTATCCACAGTTTCAACTAGTCGAGACAAAATGACATCCTAAATCCTCTGCCTAGTAATCACCATGGTGCAAAATCTGGCTCCTCCCTTTTACCTTTCGGTGTTTTCACGTGTGTGAGTTGGTGCACTGGCTTGCGTACTGTCCCCTAAAGCAAAGCCCTGCCTGTGGAAGGAAGAGAATGGCTAACTCACTGCAAGCTAGATAACACCTCTGCCTTTGGCCGAACTGAGCATGAAGCATGTTCTGGAAGCAAACAGCAGAAGTAGCCTCAGAGACAGACTTGGGGGATTGCTGGAGCAATATTGCCACTATGGAGGAACAAAAGTACTAGACCAGGGGAGAACAGATGGATGAAAACTCATGTTCTAACAAGCCCAGTTACCAAGTCGTGGCCATTACTTTGAGTGGAAAATGTCTTAGATGGAACAGGAAATAGGAGAAAATGCACAAGAGTTCTTCAGGAATGATCCTGCATGCAAGCCAGGTACTGGGAGTTCCATAGGAGGTGCTCAATACATTTTCAGTGAATGATTTTAAGATTGTGGAACAGACAACTATGCGAAGAACAACAGCCTTACTAAATGGGTTTTCATTTTTAGTGTGAGAAAAAAAGCAGAGAGTATTTTTACCTACAGTATTAGGACTTATTTCATGACAGTATTTATTTAGGACAAATTGTACTGACTTTACTTATCTTCCTTCAATGCAAGTAAACAGAGAGTTTGTACATATTTCCAAATTTTCTCTTTATATTGACTGCCAGGAGAAGTGGGTGTCAGGGTAACATAATTGAAAAAAAAATTCCTGTTATAACCCAGAAAACCCACAAAGGAAGTAGAAAAAAAACCAGCTTTATTGTTGAATAAGCATTCAATCAGAATGAGGTACGCTGTTCAGGTAAGATATCATAACGATGGAAATAACTCCCTCCCTCCCTGGGCTTAGCTGCCTGCATGCTTCACAAGCCAGTCATCAGCCTTAAAGGAAGAGGAGCTGACAGCAGCTGTCCTTGCACATGGTTCATTCTGACTTTTCAAGGGAATTAGCAAGATCATGTATGTAGACTTCATGTGGGAGGAGGAACCACTTTTCAGATATTGAGACAGAGGTGGTTTTGCACACTGAGGACAAAATATCTACTTCCACTTGACTCCCACTTCCCACAGGATGTGTCTTTTTAAAAAAATTATTTATTTATTCATCTATCTATCTATCTATCTATCTATCTATCTACCTACTTTGGAAGGGCAGATTTACAGAGAGAAGGAGAAACAGAGATATATTCCATCTGCTGATTCATTTCCCAAATGGTTCCAGCAGCTGCAATTGAGTCCATCTGAAGCCAGGAGCCAGGAACTTCTTCCAGGTCTCCCACATGGATGCAGGGTCCCCACGCTTTGTACCATCCTTGACTGCTTTCCCAGGCTGCAAGCAGGGAGCTGGAAGGAAAGTGAAGCAGCTGAAACACAAACTGGTGCTTGCAAGATTAGGATTTAGCCATTGAACCATTGCACTATCTTGTACAAAGTACAGTTCTCAGGTCCTTGTGAAACTAGCCAGAGACAGGTTTACAAAGAGTTACACAACATTTGGAAAAGAGATAGTGAAAGAGAGACAGAGATTACCTATCTGCCAGTTCACTGGCAAATGGCTGAAAAGGCTGGGACAAAGAGAGAGCAAAGCGTCATCCAGGAATTCCATCTTGGTATCAGACATGGGTGGCAGGGAAGCAAATACTTGGACTGCATTTATGCTTACACAGGATTTAGCTGGGAGATGGATCAGAAGTGAAATAGCTGGAGTGCGATCAGTGCTCCTTTGGATGCTGGTGATACTGGCAGCTGCCTAATCTATACTATAATGCTAGTATTGAGCTATAGACTGCAAAAAGGTAACTTAAGGTTTGTTCAAGGAAGATTGCAAATGGCATGGACCTGGGAGACACAAGCCCAACAACTTCTATAGAGTAAGATGAGAAGTGTTCCAAGGTAGTTAAGTTCTGGTCAGAATTCATGTTTTCCTCATTTGTCATTACACAGTGAATACATTTTGTCTTGATCCTCAAAAGCAGGCTTTAGGTCAGCAGCAGCACATATTCACAGGTTGGAGAGCAGCTTCTTTAGAACAAGACTGGTTAAAACATCTTCAGAGATTGAATACTGTCTCTGGAGAGAGAATATTGAATAGAAGGTCTCTAACTGATTTTAAGAAGGACATTTCCAAGGATAGATAAAGAGCAAAGGATTATACAGGATACTTCTTGATTTGGTGGGTAAGATCTTTTAAGATGATTTACTGGTTTTTTAAAATTTAAAAATTTTCTTTATTTGAAAAGCAGGAATGGAGAAGGGAGAGAAAGAAAAGAGAGAGAGAGATAGATATCTCACCCATTGGTTTACTCCCCCACAAGGTATAATGGCCATGGATGGGCCAGGCCAAAGCCTAGAACTCCATACTCCATGCAGGTCTCCCATTTGAATGGCAGGGATCCTTATAGCTGAGCCATTATTCTATTCTTTACCAGGCACATTAACAGGGAGCTGGATGGGAAGCAGAGCATCTGGGACTTGAGCCAATTCTCTGACATAAGATGCTGACATGATACATCACAGGATCCTAGCTCTTACAATAGCTCTGCCAAGTCACTCCTCAGACAGGTCTCTTTATTTCTCATGAAAGATATTTCTCTTGAAAGCTTGGAAGCCTTGGTAGAGGAACTTTGTTTTCAAGGGTGGGGGGAATTCTGGCTAAGCTGGCTTGAAAAGGTTCTTGTTGAAGGCAAATCAGGGTGTTCAACTGTCACTACAGGAGGGGGCAGAAGAGGAAGAATTTGAACAAATACTGAGGTTGTAGGCTTCTGGAGACACTTAATCAGGCTTATTGTGAAAACTGGGCTCTTAAGAACAGACAGGGCCGTGTCAACCTCAGACAGTCTGTTGAGACTGGTGAAATACAAGGACCTTATCACTCAAACAATTCACCCAAGTTTATAAATGACAGCCACACTGAGCACGTCTATCTCCAAGAAGGAGCAGCTGCTGACTTGGAACTGTCAGGAGCTTCACTGTTGCAGAAAAGGATGTTGGATGCAGGTGAAGAAAAACTAGGAGAGAAATGAGACGCTGGAGAAAAATGAAAAAGTGAGCAGGAGTCACAGTGGGATTTCAGGTAGACAAAACGTGAAACGCTGTGGGAGGCTGTGTCACAGGATAGGCCTTAGAGCAGATGCTCTTTGTCTACAAATATGGAGTAAGGGGCAGGAACACACAACCTTCATTGTAGCCTGGCCCCGAAACACAGCTGGTTCCATGAAGCAGTGCATGTCAAAGTCCTGTGACTGGTGGGAATGAGTGGCATGGAATGGGTGGCTTAAAACTATAAAAATTTATTTCCTTCCAATCTTAGTGGCTCAGATTCTGAACAGAAAGTGGTGGTAGAGTCACATTTTTTTTTTTTTCTGAAAGCTCGAGTAGGATCTGCCCTTTGCTTCTGTAACTTCTGGGATTCCATGTGTTCTTGGCTTGTGACTAGATCCATTTCATCTCTACCTACTTCTTCACATGATCTTCTCCACTGGATGTCTATGTAAAATCTCTTGGTTTTTCTTTAGAAAGACACTTGTAATTGTGTTTAGGTCTCACTCTTCTAAGCAGGACAATAGCATCCTAAGAACCATCATAAAATCTGCTGAGAACTTTTTGTTTACAAATAAGATCACACTCATGTACATACCAGGTGGAGGTATCTTTGGGTTACCATTCAGCCTCTACACAAAATGAACTAAGGCACACATTTTGCATAATTAACAGAATGCCTGGGAATGTCTAAGTAACGAGGGAATCTATTTGTCTCAGTTGTTCTGGAAAGTTAGATGGTTCAAAAGTGTGTGCTGGCATCAAGCCAGGGCCTTCATGCTGTGTCATCCAATGGTGGATATGTAGACTTGGAATTATTTGCATGGAGTGATCTTTGAAAGGTAGGAACTGAAAGAACACCAAAGGGAATTGAAGGGAAGGTAAGGTGAGTTCCTTGAGCAGGATTTGGAGCAGGAGAAGACAAAGGAGCCAGCAGAGGGAAAACCAAAGGTGTAAGAGGGGACAGGAACATACTATGTCAGAGGTTCCAAGGTGGGGAAGTCAATGAGAATGTCCTTCCAGTACAAAAAGCTGCCAAAAGGTGGATGAGGATTGAGAACATTCCACCGGGGCTGGCAAGAGCTTAGGTTTGTAGGAAGTAGTGTTAGCAGAGAGAGGGGGATCTGAGGGCAGAACTGTAACAGATGGAAGAGAAACAGAGGTAATCTCATGTGGGAAGACCAGAGGATATAAAACCAGTAACTAAGGGTTGCTGGTATTTGCCTACAAATTTTTATGGTTCTGAATTTAATTTTAAAAAAATTATTTCTGAACCAGACACACAGATAGAGAATGGTCTTCCGTCCATTAGCTTATTCCCCAGATGCCCTCAACAGGAAGCTAGGAGCAGGAAGTCAATCTGGATCTTCCATGTGGATGGTCATTACCTGCTGCTTTCCAGGGTGCACATTAGCCAGGGCTGGAATCAGTAGCAATGCCAGGAATCAAATCCAGGTTCTTTGATATGGGATGTGGGCAAGTGGCATCTTTACCACTGGGCCAAATGGCAACTCCTGATTCTCAATTTTTAAAATATTGACTCAAAAAAGCTAGTCTCATTTTGCTGTTCCACAGGACAGGACCAAGTCCTTGGGTTGAAAACAGAAAATTCAACTATTAACAGTCATATTTTTTATTCTGTTTTTACAATTCACTTTCATCATTGCCATATTACTTTATCAAAATACACAGACAACACAGATACTTTAAGATGTATACGTAGAATTCTAGTTAAATGAGATTAATTACCACAAATACCATGCATGGGTCATTTATATTGAATGATGTCTAAAAAGAGACAGTCATCAAATCACCAATAATTGGGATTTATTTTGTCTCATAAGAACAGTGCATTTCATTTCTTGTTGTATCAGGGTGGTAATGGTACTGAAATTGACTGAGAATGGAAAAAATTCAAAAGGGATTGGGTTTATTTTGTCTCATAAGATCAATGCATTTCATTTCTTGTTATACTATCATGGTGGTAACAGTACTGAAACTGACTGAGAATGGAAGGACACAAAGGTTTTATTCATAGGAATAAAATGATAATTGATTTGTTGAGTCCTACAACTAGTTTCCATGATGACAAGGCAACCAGTATAGACATTCTGGTGAACCTTCTCCATCAAAGACATGGATTCTTCCTCTTTTCCATTTCCCCCCATTATGTGAATTTCTTGGTTCATCAGAATGAATGTGTCTCTGTGAATGTCAGATTACAAGCTATGTTTATTTTGAGGAACCCCATAAATACCTACTCAGGGTTTCCTATCTCTAGGCATTTATACTTTCACAGACATGAACAGAATGAAAGGGATTAGTGGTTACTTGTCTGCAGCTGAATGAGATCTACAACTACATCAGCCAGAGGCTGTTTCAGAGAGTTTGTTCTCAGCTTGCTCCTTGATTCGTCAAGCGTTTCATTGATCAGTAGTTGGTGCCCAATGGAAGAGCCATCATTTAGAGCATAATGAAGTTTCCCATCTTCCACAATATGGAGAACCATTGTTCAAGTAAGTAATTGTGGTTAGTAATGACCTAACTTCATGAGCGGCTCTGAAAGATGCTAGGAGATGAAATGGAGGGCCTTGTTAGTGAAGTAGAGTCGGTTTTCTGCTACAGATATGAAGTCGTGTGAGGAGCTCAAAGGGCTTAGCCTTTATTGTTGAGTGTTTCTTTTTCTTTTCCAACTTGGAAAAGGGACCCAAGAGGTGTGGCTTGAGCCAGTTCCCAGACAGAAGATGAATCCCTTTGTGCCTCTGGAGAGATGAGGTTCAGGAGATGAGCCGCTCCATGCCTGGATTGATGAAGGAAAAGTTCCTGAACATGTTCTGGTCCATGCTGTTGATCAGTGCTCCGTCTGCGAAGGACAACCGGGGCTTCTCATTTAAGAACTCTTTGTCGAAATTGCTGCAGTCATAGGGTGATTTCTAGATCAAGATGGGAGAAAGAAAATCAGCCACAAAATTCATCATCTTGACTTTTGCAGTCTAGATTATACTCTGTGCACAACAAAGTGGGTGTTGCAGAGCAGCTCAGCTGAAGTAATGCCTGTAATCATTATGCCGGAGTGGGGGAATATCTGACTTGCAGGCCATAGATGGCCTATTGGAATCACTGTGTCCGGAATGAAGACAGCAGTGGGTAGCACTCAAAAATGTACAATTTTTAAGTTGGTAATTTTCTATGGTCCTTAGACAATATTATAAAAATTCAAATGGCTCTTGGTGGGAAAAAAAAAAAAGGTTCACCATCCTGATGTGGCCTATCATATATTCTTCTACTTTTACCAACATCTTCATGATTACTTCCTCTACTCACATTAATTTTAGTGCTAAACATTTAAAATGTTTTCTTATAGATATCTCAGAGTGATATGAACTCTTTTGAGATTACTTGGTTTATTGGTGCTTAGTACAGAAAAGGTTCACAAAATTCATCATCTTGACTTTTGCAGTCTAGATTATACTCTGTGCACAACAATATACAATATACATATACAATACATATACATATACAATATACAATATACATGTGATATTCTCCAGGTGGTACACATATGGGAATTTAGAGATCTACCTTCTCTAAGCACCTATCTACTTTCTCTTTTTAAAATAGGATACCTAACCACACTTCCATTGTGAAATGTGGTTATTTGAAAAATTTACAAATGTCATAATAGCCTTTCCCAAACATCATGGGAGAAAAATGGTTCCATATTTTCTGACACAAGATTCAGGGATTCAGTAGAAGCTGGAACCACCCACTCAGAACCCAGACTTGGTCATTAAGTATGCATGTGTTTTGTGAAAAGCTCCATCCCCTATGATAGCCTCAGTTCACATTTTGCAAATGCATATTCAATCTAAGGCATGCATACTCAACAATTCTCTTTTCATGCAGGCTCATTTCAATGATAGAGATTAAATTTTGCAAATCAGAGTAAATGGTTGGGGAAGGAAGGGGTTCAGGGCTGCTATAATTTGGATAATCAGAAAGCTTATGAAGGTACTTGGAGGGAGGTTGGTTGGAACCCGAAATTCCCATGGGTAAGAACTTACCACTTTAGGTCTGAATGGTGGGTCAATCTCCTTCCTTTCGAGTTCCTCCCAATTGATCTCCCGAAACAAAGGATGCTGGCGGATGTCTCCCCTCACTCCTAACCTCTTTTCAGGTTCTCGCACAAAAAGCTGAAAAAAAGGAGGCAGAGTGAAGTGTATTTCTCAAAGGGTAAACCAAATTGCATCCAGCGATGTTCCATTTCTTAGTCATTTGCTTTCCCAGTCTTGTTTTTCACTCACCTTAATAAAGCCAAACTTGTCCTGACATGCGTCCTTGATGAAACCGTTCTGAAAATTCTAGTCTGGGCTTTTGCTACCTTAATCTCTCACTTCATGTGCTGTTTTTTTTTTTTTGAGTTAGATTTGCCTGGTTTGAAATCAGTTTTGGCATGCCTTATTTATGGCACCTCGGGCCAATGACAGGGCACAGAGTCAATTTCCTCACCTTCAAAGTGAGCCAGGTACCCTCCCAACAGGACTGCTCTGAGGACTAAATAAAACAGAAACACACATGTATGTTCATACACAGAAGCAGCATCTATGCACATAGAAATGAATACACACATGGAAGTATGCACAAATATGTGTGGGTACGCATGTAGGATGCATGTGTAAAGATAGATATGCATGTATACATGCACACACATTTGTGCACTATAGCTCCTGATGTGTAAAATCTCAGTATGCAAAAACATATCCCGGGTAGGTAAAAGCATAGCATGTCCATTTATTTGTGGTTTGATTGACTGATTGCTCATCAGTTGAAAACATTATTTCTTACAGAGCTGCTTTAGGATTTCAGCATGGTGGGTGCTGAGGTATAAAACAGACTAGTTTCAGATAGTCATCTTGGACTTTGCAAAGTCATGTTTAGAGTACAGATAATCACTCTGGACCATGACAAACCTACTGGATGAAAAGTTTAGTTTGAACGTCGTGTCTTGTAACCTTTGGCCTCTGAGCACTGTCCCCTCTTCCTTTACTTTTTTGCTACAAGTAAAAAGGATCACTCGCACAACAGGAAAAACACTTAAAAAACACTTTTAAACCTTAAATAAGACTTTTCAAGGACGTCAAGGAACAGGAAAGTTTAAATATTAGCTTGGAAAAGCAATAGGCATTCTTAAATCATTAAGATGTTTGTTTATAATGTAATCACTAGGTTAGAGGGCATTTTAAGGAGGTTACTGATCTTTAAAACAGAAAACTTGGTAAAATTCCAGATTTTTCAGGAAGCTCTAGCCAATGCGATGCCTTCATTCACACCCAAGTTGTAAAAATTCCTTTCTTTTGTCAATTAAAAAATTTTTTTTACATGTTCTGAAACATGGCTTTATGTAGGCTATTCTATTACTTACTACATAAAGCCACGTTTTAGAAGATGTAGGCTTGCTTTTATTCCTTACTAACGTTTCAAAAAATTCCTTACTGTCTTAACAGGTTCCATGCCACTGAAAGTAAACATTCCACCTCCATGGGAAGACCTCTTTCCCCTTTCTGAAGTAGCAAAGTCTTTTGAAGTCTCAAGTGCCACGATCCACATCATAGTTCTAGCACCTTCATCCCCTTTACTGTGGGGTGGTCCCTGATGCTCCTGTCTGGAAATGAGGGATTCCAAAGTACCTGATTAAAATGACATGAAACTGCCAGTCAAGAGGCTTACAACACCTGTGACATTCGGTCCATTTTTAAAGTCTTGATGTCCTCATCTGTACAACAAAGGTTTCGACAAGCTGAATTCTCCAGTGTCTGCTGAGTTCTGGGGTCCCTGAACTCCAGATGGCCAGTCAAGTGAGACCTTGACACATGTACTCAACTTCCCAGGGAACCCTCTTTTATCCAGACATATCTATGCACTCTACACCTACTTCTCCTATCTTGATCTTCACTAGTTAGATTTCCATCTTGCAAGGCAAGGCCATGCCCCCTTTGTATTTCCAATTCCCTCTTCTCCTCTTTAAGTCTTGCACCATCATTCAGGGCTCAGTTTCTAATCTTCCTCAATGACCTCAACTCATGGTGAAGTTTTCTTCCTCTTTAAGCGCTTTCTCAGACATGTGCTAGATTAGGTTATTCCAATAAATGTTCTTTGAGAGTTAGGCATTGTGTTAGATATCCCACCTGCATTTTACTGATTTACCTCTTCATTTTTTATTGCATGTATTTATTAGTTTCAATATAATGCATTGATACATATGCATATATTCTGGAGTATTGAAGTCAAGCTAATTAACTTATCTGTTACTTGACACATTTACTTTTTTTGTAGTAAGAACACTTAAAATTCATCTTCTCTGCAAGCCTCAAGTATTCACTATATTGTTTTAAACTGTAGTCCCCATGCTGTGAAATAGACCTTCAGAATGTAAGTGGTTCCAACTAGGTTTAACATTGTGCCCTTATCTTAACTCTAAAAGCTGGAACTGTCTTGTAATTCCAACTGTCAGTTGGAGACAGTGATGCTTGAAGTAAGGATGTAACTTGCCTTTGATCACAGTTCCATCTAGGTTGAAATTGATGCGCAGTTTCTTTGCCACTGCTGCCTCCTCAGTGCTCCACAGAATGGCTTACTTCCATTACAGAGATTAGCATGCTCTGCTTTCCATGTCCACCTTGCCAGCCAGGCTGCAAGTACTGAATGGTAGGCACAGTTTCTATTCCTCAGAAAGTCTAGGATAGTGCCACACACAAAGCAAATCCTGTTGAGTAAGTGGATGAGCTGTTTTTCCATTTGTTGTATTTGTAGATCATGAATCTGCAATCCTTATCTATTAGCATCTTATTTTTAGCATAGATAAGGTAATAAATTCAAAGCCAGATACATTTTGTTATATTCAAAATAGCAGTAGGAATCAGCAGGTAGAACAGCAGACTGATTTTTCAGAGGTAGAGGGAGCAAGTGGCTTACTCCTTCTCTTCCCTTGCAATGACCTTAATAAATAACTGGCTTTGACTTAAAGACATTTTGATGAAGTAAGATTAGGGAGAAGGTATAAGTGTCTCAAGGAAAGACCTCAGACAAGCTCGTGTTGTAATGAAATGTTTCTGGGCATTAGGTTAGAAGGAACTGTATTGGGACAAGCGTACATCACCATAAGTTTTCCAGTAACCATGTGATATTTAGTCCTAAGGGGTTCAGGACCAAGTACTTGGTACATGTGCCTGTGAAATGAAGAGCACATTTTAAAGACAGAATGAATAATGACAATGTAATAGGGCCTCCAGTGGCAAGATTTAATATTCTTTCTAGTTGTGTATGGAACAGCCTTGATATGATCTTCTCAGCCTGCTGTAAATCAGCCACCTACAGTCGTGAGGCTGGTGGGCGACCTCTGAGAGTACTCAGGTTTAGCAACTTGCACAGAAGAAATAAAATTCATGAAGAAAGACTTGCCTTTGTCTGTAAAAAACTGTCTGAGGGGTGGTTTTCATTGACAGGAAATATTATACTTCTTTCAGAAATGGCCAGGATGTCGTTGAAGTTTATTTAGACCTATTTGACAGTCTGAGCAAAGAAACACAGCGGGCTGCTGGGGATGGTCCCTATGTTCCCTGGTGGTTGTGGACAGGTTCTATTTGGAACCTGCCCTGCCTCTTCACTCCTTCCTCACATGTGTCTTTCTACAAGGAGTGGCATTTCTGTTCATTAGTCTTCCAGCGTTTTCAAACAAATGGATAGGACATCCTGATGGATAAACAAGGGGAAACAGGTTGTTTCTCCAGCAACGGCGAAGCTGATCATGGTGTCCAGCAGTAATACTTGATGGTGCATAACCTTTTTTGCTGTGCAGTTGTTCAGTGAACCACAGGCATCTGTGTCCTGCATGGACCAACAATGATGGAGTCTGACACTGATGCTGGAACAGGTGGCACTGAAAGCTGTTTTGCTCAGCTTTTACCTGAGGACCTGTAACTTTTAGTTTTCACAACCTTATGTAACATTTCTTAAGGGGAGTTTCTGACAAATAACATTGCCTTTGACTTTTTCCCCCCAGAAAATGAGGGTTAAGGAGCTGGGGACTGCTGCATCAAAGAAAGCAATCTAGGTGTAAAAAGGAAGCTAGAAGTCCATGATCACTGAATTGCATAATAGATGTACTGTTGATCAACCCCTGGAAGACTCATGTGCAAAGAAAAGGACATGGCATTTTTATTAAGTTGGAGGTGAAACAATAAATACCTTCTATATGGACTTAAATCTCTTCCACTAGCCAGGCATTTTAATTTCTTTTTCTAACCCTGATTGTCTTGGTTTCTGCCTTATTTAGTCAAATTAATATTTTCTACTCTTATGACAAACCTTTCTCTTAGTTTTCCAGGACATTAAAGAGCTGGCACAAGGACTGCTTGTGTGTCCTTTAGTTGGTCTCCCTTTGTGGTTACCTCTGGCAGATGGTTCAGTGTCTCACACCAGGAAGCTGGAATTGGTGAAATGTGTGTGTCTGTTTCTAGGACATTTGATCATATGAGTGGATCTGGGCAACTACCATGACAAACACCATACAAACAGTCCCAGTTCCACTAAGATCTACCATGTACCACTGCTTTATGGTCACACTCATTTGGCTGCCCCCATAACCACAGCCCCTGGCAATCACTGATCTGATTTCCATCCCTGCAATTTTGTCATTATAACAATGTTGTATATAAATAGACAGATAGCAACAGGTGACCTTTTTAAGACTGGCATTTTGCACTCCACATAATGACCTTGGGCTCTGAGGTTTTTTTTTTTTAATGAACTAACTGTTTGTTTCTTTTTATTTGAGTAGGATTCCATCAATGCAACATTCACTGTTTTTCCTCTAACTGGAATAGTTCTTTCTTCCTACTCAATTTTCCTCCATTCTGAATGATCATTCCCAACTTCTGACTATTTAGAGTTACTTCTGGTGAGTTCCAGAGGGACAGAGAGAGAGAGAGAGAGGAAAACCTCTTTAATGTGTTTTTTTTCACTCTGTATGGGTAGCCATGGAGAGGCCAGAAGGGAAGAAATCTGTGCTGGTGTTCCACATGGGTGGCAGTGGCACCCATGGGTTGTCTTCCATTGGGGAAGGCTGGCTTCTATAGGGGATATCAACAGGTGTGTGGACTTGCGGATGGAGCTCCAAGGTTTTCATTCTGAGGATCATCTGAAAACAGCCCCTGAGTGTACAGGTAACCCAAGTCCTCCCATGGTACAGACCAAGGTCTTTCTTCATTTCTTTTTTTCCAGGGAATTGTCCTGATTTTATTTTCATCAGAGTAGCCCTAGGGAGTTAAATTCAAATGTTGAAACCCTACCCCCCACCAAAGTCCACAGACAGGTTCTTGAGGGAAATAATTAGGGTTAGTTGTGGTCATAGAGTGGAATCCTGATTCCGCATGATTAGTATTCTCATATAAAAGGGATACTAACAGCCGTTGTCCCTCTTTCTCAGTCACCAGCTCTAACTTCTGCTCTCTCTACCAGGGCAAAGACAAAGCAAAAAAACAGCTACCCACGAACCAGCTGACTTTGCTGAGGCTTGGTCTTGGATTTCTAGACTCCAGACCATGTGAAGAAAGTCTGCTGTGCTGCCATCTGCAGGATTTTGTTATGGCAGACCGAACGAACTCATTCCCTTCACACATTGAGCCCTTCACAGAGTCAAGTGCAAAACAGGTGTAGCAACTGCAAAATAATGTTTGCACTTGCCTTCATGTAAAGGAAAACTATTTACATTCAAATCCTACCAGCTTATTTTTATTGTTGCCATTATCTTTTATGGGTTAATTTTGAAATTAGCTTTTATTTTATGTATGTTTTGTTTAGTTATTAAAAGTGACTTTAATTGGTCATTTAGGGAGTTTTCTAAGTTTATTGCCCATTTGGATCACAGTCTCACAAGGCAAAAGCTTCATAAAACTTGCTCAGATTTTTAAATACCTAGTTCAATTAACCTTGGGCTAGGTATCCTGTGAGGGCTTTGTCAGCACTTCTTAGATTTAAGATCTTGATTCCCAGGGGAGAATTCTGGAACTGCCTCAAAATTTCTAATACTGCAGACAAGTTATCATTTGTATTACAAAAGTGGAAGTGTGGGCCTTTTAAATTTAATTCCAAGTAATTTTTCAAAAGGAAAAAAGTTGACCAATAAAAAAAGATGGGCCTGGTAATATTTTTCAATGTTTTGATATAAAACACACGGGTTGCTTCTGTTGTTGAAGGATCTGGTCCTGTTCCAATTTTTTTTTTTTATTGTTGCTTACATTGTATTATGTAGTACAGTTTTATAGGCGCTGGGGATTCCTCCCACCCCTCCCATACAACAACATTAAAAATAGTTGCTCTAAAGGATGATCTTAAAAAAAACCCAACTTATATATGGGAGCTTAGGAAAACCAACATTTCTTTCACAGCGCTTGTATTCTTGGTCCATTGGCTTTGAATTTACTCACCTCTTCATCACACTAGTAGGTTTCTTTGAGCCAAATTATTTGTCAAAACAGTTTAGAAGATACACATAAAGTTTATTCTTCTCATATATACTTAAGTATGTTTTATTGGCATGGTTAATTTTTAATTTTACAACTTACTAGACTCATGCACTGTTATATAGAATCTTGCATCTTGAAAAGGGCAAAATGGGGCTCGGCCTGAAGTTGATATCTTTCATGATAGTTCCTAGGCAGGTATTCTTTTGTCTCTGTCCCAAGGGTTTGCCTTGGGAGCTTCTGGTTCACATGAGCCTGGTTTTCACGGATAGCAACACACAATTATTTGTAATGGATGCCATGCTGCCATAGACGGGGACTGATTTCTGCTTGGACAACTCTGGAGATTGTTAGAGGGTGAAGGGTGCATCAATGGTTCAAGTGGTCAACACAGGGGAGTGCAAGGAGAAACAGGTGGTCTGTGTCCATTTTAAGTACTAAGACAAGCTATCAGACAGGCAACCAACAGTGGAAAGGTGTTACTGAATTAGTTCTGGTTCAGTTCCTAGGCCAGTGAAGATTGAATAATCTATATCTTAAGACTTGACCCTCAGAATGTCCCTAAGAGTAAGTATTTCCAAAGAACCAGTTCAAGCATCTCACAAAAGTCTGAGCCTGAATGAAGAGTATGAAGCCACACAACATATAAGAAGAGTTCCTTCTCTTCATTCTTTTGTCCTCTCTGCCTCGGCCTGGTGTGATCTGAAATAGAAGCTCAAGAATTGGAGAGGAGTGCATAATGATACACTCAACCATACCCTATTTACACACCCTTTGTGAGCATTTCCCAACTATGAACTCTGACCAGCAGAAAGAGAGCAAAAGGCTTACCTTTAAAAGTTAAGTTTGGTTCAGAACTGAATCTGGGCCTCCCACATGAATGGCAGTGACCCAAGTATTACAGACACTGTCTGCTTCTTCCCAGGGTATCTGTTAGCAGCAAATTGGTTTAGAAGCAGAACAGCTAGGCCTTGAATCACATGCTCCATGCTCCAATATGGGGTTCTTGTGAAAACATCACTTAGGAGACAAGATCAATAAAGATCATAATATGTGTAACATCAGCTGCTCGATGTGCTATTCACATTTCTGATCAGCAGCAGGAAAGATGAGCTGGACTAAATGATTCACAGAGACTACAGGAAACAAAACATTGGGTTTCAAACCACAAATTGTTCTTCTTTGATGGGCCCCCTCCATTTCCAACTAGAACATTCTAGAACTGTGGAATTGGTTACTGGGTATTTGTTACATAAAAAGTGCACACTAGAGTTTATCTCATACTGAGTTTGGTTTCCATTTTCTTAATGTCTGCACCAGTTAAGATACAGATAGTGAACATCCCATTTAAATCCAATTCAAAGTAATCATTTTTTACTCTACTGGTATAAGCTAGAAGGTTTGACAAGGGAATACCACCAGAACATCAAATCTGCTGAATACTTCTACTTAATCTCTTACCTTCACTAAAAGGTCCTTCGCTTCCTTCTCCAGCCACCGTGGGTAAAAGGGATTGTCCATGCGGATGGAGTGGAACAGCTCTTCTTCATCTTGGCCATGGAAAGGCGATTGACCAATTAGCATTTCATAAAGAAGAACACCGAAGGACCACCAATCAACAGAATGGTTGTATTTCTGACCCAGCAAGATCTGTGTGACCAAAAGGCAGAGAAATTCAGAGAAATGAGGTGGATGAGTAAACGTGTCAAGCTCACTCAGTAAATAATCAATAATGAAGTAGCATATGTTTTTTTTTTTAAATAAAGATCATAATAAAAGTTGTTTTTGTTTTGACAGACTGGCAACTGGATTAAAATAACTTCACATGCTGAAATTGTTGTGTTTGAGCTTGAATAAATATTTCTGAGTTTCAGTTTCTGCTTACTCCCTGGCTTTAAATGAAACAATGAACCTGTGCCGTTAGCTTTCATTTTCCCGTTTGTTATGGGAGGCTGTAGGTGACACATAATGAACCTAACAAAGCCACTGTGGATCTCAGTTCTCTGGTGCTTCTGGAGGCATCCACTTGAGCCCAGCTTTGCTCACTTAGGTTCTGAATCTTTGCAATAGATAATCAACCATCTGTTTTGAGGAACTTGCTTCCCTTTATGAAAAAGAAAAAAAGGTTGCAAAGAAAACTTTACAGTTTACCACTATTTTCTAAAAAGAAAAGCTACCCACTTACTTTAACTTAGTATCTGAGTAGTAAATCTCACCTTAAAATTCAGCAAACAATGAGCTTTGCCTTAAGCAATAATTTAAAAGTCAACCCAGGCACATGTACACATGCGGACAATGAACAAATGCTGTCCGATTTGTCTTCAGGGTTCTGGGGCAGTGGGCCAGATCACATGCAATTACCAGGAAGTGACACAAGGAGGAGCCAAAGCAACCACAGAGATTAATGGACAGGGAAACACCTTTGCAAACAATTTCATTTTGGTAGGATCAATGTAAAGATATTGACAACTAGAGACATTTTAGATAAAGGTGATTAAGCCTTCTAGCTAGGTGACGTTGACAAAAACACTGTAGCTTTTCATTAGAAGGGAGACACAATGTAAATTCTTTGCTTAAGGGATGTTGATATGTGTTGAGAACTTTAATTTATGTCTTTCATTTGTAAGCAGAACAGGGTGTAGGTACTATCAGCTTGGTGTGACACAGGATAACGTCTGAAACAAGACATGTTAAATTTCTTTCTTTTACAAATACGTATTTGTTAAGTCATTTGAAATGGAGAGTGACAAGGAGGAAGGAAGAGATAAAGATCTCTTCCACCCACAGATTCACTCCCCCAAGAAGGGGCAACAGCCAGGTGTGGGCCCAGCTAAGGCCAGGAGCTTTATGGGTCTGCTGAGTTAACTATGCTTGGGCCGCTATGGTGATGCACCTGACGAGGCAAGTGTGGTTCACAGATCTGGTGACCAGTCAGGGCTGACACGGTTTTGGTTACCAAGCAACTTTTGTTTTTTCAAGGGAGCTGCTTTTATGGGTTTGAAATCCCATATGAACCTACTACATGGTTACGGCACGTGAGAAGGCAGGATGCCTGCCTACCTTACTGTTTCCCTGATCATTGCTCAAACGAATCTGGACCTCAAGGTGTGCAAGGGACCCGCTTCATCCCGTACTGGGAAGACAGAAGGAACAGCGGAGCTGCTGAGAGCACATTTAGGTCTCTGGAGGCACCACTGGGTGAGACCATTTCATGGCTGTCAGGGCTCAGTGCTTTCAGTGAATTGCTCCTGGTGCTGCTCTAGTAAGCATTTGTTTCTGCAGTTGGAGTTCTCCCCAGAGGAGAGATCCTCGTCTTCTGAATGAGTCCCAGGATCTTTGTCCCAGCTGTTTAGTGTTCCTGTCTTCTTAATTCTTTGCTGATTTGACTCTGTGCTACTCCTAGTCCCCTCCCCGAAGGGACATATACTTTAATATGAAGCTAGCAGCTGGGGACTCATAAAGGCAACACAAGGCAGTACAGACTTGGAACTGCAGTTAAGGATGGTGACATCACCCCTGAGGCAAACAAGAAGGAGGCTACACCTGCAGTTTTGTTTTGTTTTTGAAGGAAGAGAAGGCAGCAGGTGAATGAAGACGACAAAGAAAAGAGTTACCAAGCAGTCTGGAGTCTTGCAGAGTAGGGAGGATTTTGTCAGGTAGAGAAGGGGAGGTAGGAGAGAAGGGGAGGTCGGAGAGGGGTGTTGTGTGAGGAGCCCAAGCACTAGGAACACAGTACAGGTTTTGAAATGGACATGTGGCGTCCATGCCTTGGTGTGGTCGCTCATCCAGGAGCCAGCTGATGGGTGCCTGCTCTGAGATGTGGATAGGAGACCAGGAAGGGGGTAGGTAACTCACAATTTCTGGTGGGCAGAAAACACATGTGCTATGAGAAAGAAACAATAGAATGTTCTAGGCAAGTAGGGGTAAATTTGGGAGAAAGTTCCTGTGGGTGAGGGGATGCTCCCCGGCCAAGGACACAGGATGTGTGTGTTAGCAAGACACAGTTTGGCCCAGTTGGGAAGGTCATTATTTTTCTATGATATATTGTTAGGGGCATTGTCTCTGGCCTTTGGCTCTATTCAGTTACTAATGGGGATTTTGGGAAGTTTTTAAAGTACTGGAGTGACAGGTTTTGCACATGGCAAAGATACGTTTACTAACTTGATAGAGTGGAATTTCAACATGGCACCCACAGTTGGAGTGATTTAGACCATCTCAAAAGAAATGGGAGGAAAATCAGACCTTGCATATTTTGCATACTGTTAAAAGCTTCTACAGTGAGAAGCGGTGTGGGTTTTGTGGACGCTTACTCACAGTGACATGGCTGTCCTTGCTGAAGCAAAAACATGGAGGAGGTGTCCTGATGCTGGCCTAGGAAGCCGTGTCTCAGAAGGAGCTTGATGATGACCAGGCTTGTTATTCACTTGCCATGAATCAGTGTGTGCTACTGATGTGCGTCCTATTCTAGCTAGATTAATTTTCATGAAATAAGAAGTCCTGTCCTTAGCATGCTGTCAACAGGGACAGATGTCACGGTACAGCAGGTTAAGCTGCCTATTGGGATATTGGCATATCCTGTTGGAGCACTGGGTGGATTTCTGGATGTTACACTTCTCATTCAGCTCCCTGCTAATGCTGCTTCAAAAGCAACACAAGATGACTCAGGTTGGAACCCTCTCACTCATGTGGGCGAATGCATGGAATTCCAGCCTGCTGGCTTTGGCCTGGCCATCTCCCAGTTTTGTGGATATTGGGGGAGAAAACCAGAGGATAGAAAATATCTTTCTCTGTCCCACTTTCTAAAAAAAAGTTATCTACTAAGAGGATTGGATTGGATAGAAAATTGCAATAAATAATGCAAATAAATCAAAGAATCAGAAAATGGCAGCCCCCATGTCTCTCTCAACAATACGTGTCAAAGTTCTAAGAAATGATGACCTCATTAGTTAAAAACAATACACAGTGCATGAAAACATGGCTTTGAATTCTGAACTCATTCACCATGCTCTTCAAAAAGTCTTCCCAAAGGCACATGTTTTTAAGTCTCTTTCTATTGTATCATTGCTAAGGACTCTTTTTTATTGCTCTGATAGCAATGAAGACTAAGAATAGAAATCAGTGAATTAGATCTTTTAGAGTCCTAAGGATTATTTAATCTTATAGTTTTAATGAAGGCATAATTGTGCAGTAAGTAGAACAACATTGAGCTGTTGAAAAATATTGTTGATTTCACCTTAAGTTCAATCTGATTTTCCCCATTTGGGGCATATTTTATAACATACACTATAGTGTTGTTAATCTATAGGTAAATATAAATACCTAAGGACACTTGTTTCCCCTTGTAAAACTTTTTAATTAATTAAGTCATGACACAGTTTCATGGGCTCAGGGATTTTCCTTCCCCACCTCCCCATAGGGTTGCCTTTTTGAGATGATGAAGAAGTATGACCAAAAGGTCTGAGATGCATGGAGAAGATGCCCTGGTTGTGGGGTGGTGCATGGAAGAAACACTGGAAAGGTGTTTTCAGAACCCACAAGGAGCAGAGATGTTGATCTGTTAGGTGAGTAAGGATGGAGAGGAACTAGAGAGTCTTTGGGGAATAAATCAAAATGATTCATTTTGAGGAAAAATGATGAATAAAGGGAGAGTCTTAGTACAGACACAAGATTAGGAAAGGTGTGAGAGGTTCAGTTTCAAAAGACTTGATGTCTCACTGAGTTTGGGGTGGTACTTAAAGGAGAAAAGTCGAGTTAGTTCTCTATGTAGACAATTGGGTGGATGGCAGGCAATTCAACAAGAAAGGAAAAATAGGAAGGGGATGGCAAATTCATCAGAGGAAGTTAAGTTGAAAAAGAAATTACATGTTTATTTGACAGGCAGAGAATGAGAGACAACAGGGGCCTCCAGTCTACTTGTTCACTTTCTAAATGCCTGCAATAGCTGTTGCTGAGTTGCAATGAAACCAAGAGCTTGGAATGCAATTTCAGTCTCCCAGATAGGTGGCAAGGATCCAAGTACTTGAACCATTTGTTGTGTGCTGCCTCCCAGAATGTACATTAGCACAAGGATGGGGTTGGGAGCAGGAATGAGATTCAAATTCAGGTCTCCAATATGAGAGACTGACAGATTTATTTATTTATTTTTTTATTGGAAAGGCAGATTTATGGAGAAAAGGAAATACAGAGAGAAAAATCTTCCATCTGCTGGTTCACTCCCCAAGCGACCATAGTGGTTGGAGTTGAGCTGATCCAGAGCCAGGAGCCACAAATTTCCTCCAGGTCTCATATGTGGGTACAGGAACCCAAGGCTTTGAGTCATCTACTGCTCTCCCAGGTCACAAGCAGGGAGCTTGATGGGAAATAGAGCAGCTGGGGCATGAATGGTGCCCAAACGGGATCCTGGAGCATGCAAGGCATGGATCTAGCCCCTGAGCCATCATCCTGGGCCCAGGGAGGAGACTTAACCACTGTGCCAAATGCCTGCTTCAGAAAGAAGGGTTTTAGATGGATTGTGTTGGTGTCTGTCTGCTTGGTGTGCCAATCAGTTGGTAAGCTCAAGCAGAAACATTCTTATGTAGGTCTGGAACAAGCAGCTTGGGCCTCCAGTTTTGAAATCTGGTATTAAACCCTAGCGATAAGCAGAGCAACAACCCATAAGATAAGAGGAGCAAGCATGCAGTCAGCATATGTATAATTGAAAACAAAAGAATGATGTTGCTGAGAGAGAAGCAAGAGGCAGAAAAAAAAAACATATCAAGAAAGGAAGTCTTGCCTCGGAGGGATGCCATGTGCAGTCTATGCAGATGAGAGAGAATCAGAGGAAGGCAGACACATGAATATGTTGAAGGAGAAAAGGAAAGAAATTGGGTGAGGTTCAAAGAATGAAAAAGGGGGTCTCTACTGAGGATGATGTGTCCTTAGAAGAGTGAATATATTTAGAACAATTACTAAGGGGAATCTAGCAGGTGAAGGAAGTCCCTTCTCTGTGGGCTCCTTCATGTGTGCCTTAATTAGCTCTGGCTTCACTTCAAGGGGAAACAGTTTACTGCATTGATATCTGTAATTGTGCTAACCCAGAGAAAGCACTGATTCCTCGAATATCATGAAGTTATGAAAGCAATGAGTCAAGCTCTGTGAGCTTAAGCAATTCTCCTGAAACTTAATACACTGCGATTTCTTACGGAGCAGAGGCTAACCTTTTAAGTTTAAATCTGACTTGGGCTTCCAATTCCTTGGCAGCGACAAGGATTTTCTGCCACACTTGTTTCACCCAGGAAAGCAGAGATCAACACAGTCTTTATCAAACAGCCTTGCCTGATCTAATGAATGAATTGATTAATTAACTGCATAAATCTGCCCACATTTGCCTCAGCAGTTATGACACCGTTGGCTCACCTTGGAATGCCTTGTTTCAATCCCCACCTCCTGACTCCTGACTCCTGACTCTAGTTTCCTGCTAAAATATAGACTTTGCCGGGCAGCAGGGCACGGCTCATGTAATTGAATTTCTGCCACTCAGGCAGGAGATCTGGACTGAGTTCCTGGCTGCCAGCTGCAGCCTGGCTAAGCTTCGTCTGCCACAAGCATTTGACAAGATCGGAGTTGTGCCTGCCTGCCTGCCTGCTTGTGTGTTTGTCTCTCTGCCTCTTAAACAAACAACTAGATTTTTTTTTGGAAAAAAAATAGACCTATATGAGAAATTGGTATAGAACCAGTGTCAACACCCTGGTCTTGATGTAGCACCACAGCTATAGAAGATGTGATGCTTGAAGGGAACCGGGTAAAAGGCACACGCAGCAGATGCTTCTGTGCTGTTTTGTAACTGCTTGTGAATTTATAATTATTTTAAAATTAAAAAAAAAACAGGCTTAAAGAGTGAAAAATAAACAGTTCTTGATTTAAAGCAAACATCTGGTTGTGCAGATACATTCAAAGGCAAAAGCAGCCAGGAGTGTGAGAGAAGGAACATGGGATGAGGAAGCCTCTAATCCCACTGGGGTAGGCAGCTGGAGGGGATTCTCGAAAAGGAAGCAAGGGTTTAACTCGGCTGATGGATACCTTCTGACTCAATGTCATTTTCTAGCTACTGGGAACATTGGAGAGATGCCTTTTTTTTTTTTATCAGGATTGCTGCTATTACTACTGTTTTGGCAGAGGTGTGCACTGAGCTTGAGTTTTTTTGCTCTCTCATTTAATTTTTGCGATAATACTATGATGCAAGTACTGGAACTATTTTGCAGAGGATGAAATCGGATCAGGGAGACTTTGGCCATCTGTCTATGCTCACACAGTGATTCAGGTTCTCTGACCGTGCACTGGAACCACTTCATTCAGCGGGTTACCTGTTTGCACCTGGCTCTTCACCAGGTACAACTTCTGGTTGGTCTGAGCAGTGTGATTATGTTTGAAGGCTGGAGATGATGGCACAGAGTTATGACTGAAAGGGAACAGTGACCTATTCAAGCCTTGGAGAGATGCTGTAATCAATATGCATGGCATTCTTTCTCAGATTATTGTCTACTATTATAGCCATCCAATTGTGTGACTGCATTTATGAAAAATCCAGGAAAACAAAGATCAGTCCTGCCCCAAATAGTAAAATATTTTGACAGGAAGGGGAGGCAGAGGCAGAGGCAGAGGCAGCAGTGCCTGGCGCAGGTGTGTTGAGCTGGGGAAGGCGGTTACAGGGCCTTGGTGGTGCATCCCTACCTCCGGGGCGATGTAGTCAGGAGTCCCGCAGAAAGTGTTTGTCTTTGCATCTCCTACCATGTTCTCTTTGCACATTCCGAAATCTGCTATCTTGATATGTCCATCTTTGTCTAACAGGATATTGTCTAGCTTCAGGTCCCTGAAAAAGCAAAAAGCAAAGCAAAAACTCCCGATATGCAATGTTGCTCTCTCGTCCAGTCACAGCTCACCTGGGATCCCTTCCCCCTCTGGCAACCCAGTTGCTAGCCCGCAGCCCTGCTCAGGGAGCTCACTGTTCCTTTCTCGCTTCCAGGTTTGGTTCTTTGACTCCTGGCTCATTCTCAGGACTTTTCCCCTGTAGCTTCTTTTGACTCTGGGCAGCCTGCATGGGTTCTTTACCCCCACGTAACACCTGATATATCTTCAGAGCTCAATCCAAGAATTTTATGTGAATGACGCAGTATGTGCTAGATTTCACAATTGTACTGCTACTTCCTTGGTGTAACATCCTTTAATTTTAAGAGGGGCCTTCACAAAACACATTCTCACAGTGGAGAACTGGTTGATAATGAAACAGCACCTCAATCTGATCGTCTTCCTGGAATCACTCATACAAAAAGTGCATCATTCTTCGAGTGCCTGGCTGCTGTGAATTCCTGTCTGTCTGTCTTACCAAGAGGTATAGCTCAATATATGAAGGACTGAGCACCCCAATATTTTTTTCTGGGATCAATGGTCAGGAGGAAGGCCTGGAGATACACGATGTTATGCCATGTTCTGTGTATGTTAGATTGTTTGTGCATAGCTTATACTGCCCCTACCTGCAAGTCCAGTTGGGGAAGTCCATTCCTAACTAAGAAAGAATGCCTCTAGCACCAGAATCCATCTGAGAGAGACCAGAACACCCATCAACAAATTCCCCCGAGTCTCAGAAAGACAATACTTCTTAAAATGGCCTATTCTATTCTAAGTTAAAAGTAGCTGACAATATTTATTTCAAAAATATGCAAGCCATGGCTGGTGCTGTGTCATGACTGTGACACTGGCATTTCTTAGGAATACTGACTCTTCAAGATGTGCCAAGTACTCGGGCTTCTGCTGCTTCCATGGGAAATCTGTTTTGGAGTTTCAGGCTCTTGGTTTCCACCTGGCCCAGCCATAACGTTTGCAACCATTTGCAGAGTAAAATAGCAGGAGAATCACTCTCTTTCTCTATTTTTTCACTTCTCTATGTAATTTTGCTTTTGGAACAAATAAATGAACCTTTTTAAAAAATGAGCCAAGTTATGGCCTGTTATGATGCTAATATTATTTTGTATGGCATCTTGAAAATTGAAGTTTTATCTTTCATGAAATTCAGAGATTTTATTCCTCATATGATATGGTTTTTTTTTTGACTCTTCAATGTTCTGACTCTCCCCTCCAAAAACCCCCTAAATTTATCAATTTTCTTCTTGAGAAGGGGTGCATCTAATTAGTATACATGAAGTTGGTGCTGTCAGCTTCTGAGACCACCCACATACCTTTTGCCATCCGACTGCACTACTTGTTACAATACCTTCCTCATGATAATGGTTCGGACTGAACTAACTGCAAACTAAAATCCTCAAGTAGTCTGTTTTATTTTTTAAGCATAAACTGCCATTATCCCATCCTGTGACTATCAAATTGATCTTTAAAGATTTATTTTTATTATTATTTTTTTTTATTGGAAAGGTGGATATACAGAGAGGAGAGACAGAGAGGAAGATCTTCCGTCCGATGATTCACTCCCCAAGTGAGCGCAACGGGCCGATGCTATGCCAGTCCCAAGCCAGGAGTCTCTTCCAGGTCTCCCACGCGGGTGCAGGGTCCCAAAGCTTTGGGCCATCCTCGACTGCTTTCCCAGGCCACAGGCAGGGAGCTGGAAGGGAAGCAGGGCTGCCGGGATAGAACCAGCGCCCATATGGGATCCCGGGGGGTGCAAGGCGAGGACCTTAACCACTTGCGCCACTGCGCCGGGCCCTCAAATTGATCTTTAAAAAACAATTCAGGGCTGGGCATTTGGCCTGGCTCAACTTCTGCTTTTGTGAGCATTTGAGGAGCGAATCAGTGGATGTCAGATTTAACTATCTCGTTCTCTGCCTTGCCTTTCAAATACAATAAAGAATCCATCAATTAATTTTTATAAAACTCATTTCAGGTTGACATCAATTTGTTTAAAATTTTACCCAATCAATTTTAGTCAATGCAACTTTATAAATTTTAGCTTTTCCTGTAACAGTCAGCTTTCTTTGTCCACATGTGGTCTGCTCAGGGACTTCCACGCTTTCTGAAATCCACTGTTAATACATAGGATTTGTGGTTGTTGATGGTTACCACTGTCTTCCTTAGGTAGCTAAGACAACTTGGAAGAAGGTAAAGAGAATTATGGCTTTCATCTCCTTCTGTATCTGTTAGAATTTTCTCTCAGGTTTCCTTCTCAAAGATTCTGCTCCTTATAATAGAACTATTGAAGAAAGCATGCACTGATTGAATTTTGGGCAATACTACTCAATATTATATTTTATTATGCTCATTTTTGCACAATTTGATGAGTTTTGCAAATGTTTATACTGAGCTAGGAATTCAAGCAATCAAATTAAGACCAAGAAGAGGTTCAACAGTAAAGATACGGGATCAACTCAGATGCCCATTAACTAATTACTAGATAAAGAAAATGTGGTAGTTTATATAAAACCAGTAGTATACTATATACAATATTCTATATATTATATACTTATTCTATGTATTATGGAATACTACTGAGCCAAAAAAGGAACGAAATCCTGTCTTTTGCAACTGAAAACCATTATGCTTAGTGAAATAAATCAGTCCCCAAATGACAAGTATATGTGTTCTTTGTGGTTAATATAGAAGAAGAATGTATAGGAATGAAATGGATATCTTGTGATATGATTGTTGTTTTTAGCTCTTGCTTATATGATCATGGAACTGTGGTCTTTCTGTTTTTTGCTTGTTGAATATTATGACTAGGGTGAAATAAGCCTGTGATTATAGAGTGGATTGAAATTATGCTTATGAAAAAATTAAAAATAAAAGCAAGGGAAAGGAGGATGGAGGTTGGAGGAAGGGAAGAGGAAAGTATGATTATCAAAACTGTGCCTATGAAATACATGAAATTTGTCTACTTCATTTTAATAAAAATTAAAAGAAATATGTTGACTGTGTAAAAGAGGGTTCCCTAACTCTTGAGAGATCCTTCATCTTTCTTCAAAATATTTACATGCAGTCCCCATCCTAGAAATAATTGCCCTTTTTGTCTTTATCACGGTTTGCCAAATCTTCAGTTCATATACATGGAATATACGCCATAACTACTCCCAGAATGTTCACATTCTTCAAAAGTTGCTAATCCTATTTGGGGTATCTCCTTTGTTCAACAGGAAGCAAGATGAGGGTGAGAGCTGATTTTTCTTATTTATTGTGCTATGATTATTTTTTAAAGAAGCATAATATACCCAGAGTATTCAAGAAACAATTATGTAATAACAGACTGGTGATTAATAGAAGCAGTTAATTTATGTTTCCTTTTCTTGGATTCTCTACCTTGTGTGAGAGTAAGTTATGTAGAGCTTGGCGGTCTCCATCCCACGCATCTTCTGCCTGAGAGGCCTGGAGTACATCTTAGAGCTGTGTCACTTCTGCCCTCTCATCCTAACTCACGGCTATCCCACCTCCACTGACATGATGAAGGATACTCAATCCATTACGGCTTCTCCATAGACACTGCTAGTCTTCTGTATTCTTGAACATTCATTGGAACGAAATACACTGTGCAACTTATGAATTGTATTTAACTGCTTGTACTAATGTTTCAGCTTTGCTATTGATCCATACTGCTATCACATAGAGCCTCTGCCATGTGAGCATATTTGTATCATTAATGGACATGTTCCTACGTTTCTAGAAATTTGACAGCAGACCGGTTTTGGGTCCTCTCCAGGGAAGCAGACATCCAGCTGTGAAGCTATATATGGATCACAGGAGTGATTAACATAAGATCTAATAGTTGCATTGGACTTTCTTGCTTGCAAATGCAATTTGATTACTTAATTCTTACAAAAATCCTTCATTCTGAAGTCACTGTTTCTGTCTGTTTTTCCTTTTCTGGTGAAAAGTGTGATACAATCTATTTCAACCCACAGAGCCTGCCAGTGGATGAGGAGGCACACTCGGTTTTTGTCTGCTCTGACACTTCTTTATATATCAGACTCACCTGGACTTTTTCATCAAATTGGTTTTGCTAAGATGTACAAGGATGCATTTTAACTGATTCTAAAAATAAATGTTCTCTGGTCCTCATTGCTAGGAATAATAAAGCTTCATGTCAAATATTCAATCTGCCTTATAACATGAGCCAGATATGTTTGGGGTTCTGAGAGAAAACTCCTTGAAGCTTGGAGAGGTTTAAATTAGGACAAGAAATTTCCAGAAAGCCTACATACAAAGCCAGACTTGTGGGGGCAGAGGAAGACCTGTCAGATTCCTGGGAGATCCCTGGCAATGCCACAGATCCTATAGGGGCTGGGGAGAGGAGTATTCTGAGACACATCCTACTGTTCACTTTTTGCCTAGTCCCTTCAAGACATCAGGGCACACTGAATTTCACCTGCTATCATTTTCCTGCTCAAAAAATATCTCATGAGTACATCAGGAATAGTGAAGTAAGCAGAAGTCTTTCGTTTTGTTATGTGGTAAATGCAAGCAGTGATTTTCCATTCAGAAGAAGCAGAGTGGGAGTTAAAGTGGCTACCAAACCTGAGTTTCATGGTTAGTAATCCTCATTACTGCTCTCCTCCGGGAGTGTCTGATAACTTGGCCATTAAGCAGAGATGGGAAATGCTTACCTGGCTCTTCCCAGGGGGGTCATGTGACACTGAATGAGATGATCTATATAAAAACACTGCGAACTGACTTCACAAGTATGGGTTGGGAGTACTTTTATCATCACTAAAGCAACCTTGTGGCCTTGTTCTCATAATCTGAGGAGGATTTAGAGTTTTCTGTCTTTATGATGGTATCTTTTCCAGCTCCCTGTTTTACATTTAATCCAAACCCAGGCTTACGGCATCTCAGAAGAAGCCAATGCTTTCACAGATCCATAGACCCCCAGGTCTACTCCATTCTCATGATCGTCCAAGAACTAACCATTCTACCAAAGCTGGACTCATTTGTCTGATATTCCCCCACTGACCTCCTTTCTCACATTTTCTGGAGTTCTGTCTCCTTGCAAAAATTTGCTTCTTAAAAAAAATTATCTACTTCCTGGTAGAAATGGTTTTCACAGCATACCCCAATCAGGGCTGAACAATGATTCCATTAACTGGACAAGGAAAGCCTGTGTCTTAGCGCTTGCTTCCCACAAGCACAATTTACCTGTAGACAATTCCTTTGGAATGAAGGAACTGCAGACCGAGAATGATTTCAGCAGCATAAAACCTGAGGGAGAGAAAGAGGGAGGGCCAAAACTCACCATGAATGTATTAATAGAACAAAAAAAATCCTCAGACATGGATTGGTGTGTTTTTAATACCTACTAGGCTAAGTGTTCTATGCATATTATTTGGTCTAACCTTGCCTAAGGACATTATTCATCCTACACAGAAGAAAGTGGAAGCTCAGATGCTTTCTCCCTGCCAGAGTACAAGCTATCCTATTATCTAGACTTGCCTTTATCTAGTGTTAACTTTGAAACTTACGCCGCAATACCTACATCATACAAACATTACATGTATTAGTATAGTTACAATAGGGAAATAATTTCCTTCTTCATTTTAAACTCTGCTTGAAGCTCAGAGACTTGTACTCAGGCCATTCCAAATAGACCTGGTTGTTTATTTTCATACTGACAGTGTTTAGCCCAGGCAAAAAATATAGCTCAGGAGGTGGAAAAAAGGATATTAGCAGATGGAAGGTGATAATCTTCATCTTCAATGAAGACAGGCTTAAAGGAAACAAGTTGATACTATCATTACTGTAATAAAGGTCAGATATGATTGGTCTTCCCAAAGATCATGGAAAATAAACATGATCTTTGCATTTCACTTTTTTTCTCCATAAACTTTTGGAAGTATCCATGTTTAGGAGAGCGTGTTTCTTGAAAGTGAGGTTTGTTGGATCATACTGAGAATCCAAAACTCTGCTTGCTGGGAAGCAGGTAGGACACAGTAGGGAATGAGTGTTTGAATTGGCTGTGATATGTCACAGAGATAGCAAGGATGGTGATGCAGAAGTCCTCTAGAGTTACATGTGGGCGCTTTGCTGAGGGTTCCTGTAGGCAATGAGATTGGTGCAATGTGAACCAGTGGCCTGACACAGCAGCCATTTCAGGCACGGCTGTTGCAGGAGCTGTTGGGGGACGGGGGTCAAGCCTACCTTTTAACCTAGTTCAAAAGACACCACCCAAGAGAAACTCATATGTATTCAATCTCAAGCGAGGCAGCTGTATTTTTTTTTTTTAAAAAAAGCTTTTATTGATTTGAGAGGGATTATGTGTGTGTGTGTGTGTGTGTGTGTGTGTATGTGAGGGAGAGAGAGAATCCTCAGCACTGGTTCACTCCTCCAGTGTTTGCAACAGCCAGAACTGTGCAGAGAGCTGGGAGATCTAACTGGGTCTCCCACATGAGTGGTTGATACCCAAGAACTTGAGTCACCACTGATACTTCGCTTCCCAGGAGCTACATTAGCAGGAAACTGCAAATGAGAACAGATCCAGGGATTCAATGCAGGTGCTCTGATACCGAATGCTGGAGTCCCAGCTGGAGTGGTTAGTGCTTGGTCAAATGCTCATCTCAACTGCAGTGGTTTCATTGTTCCCATGAGGGCACAGCACAGATAGAAGAGGCAGGAGGTGCTGCCAGGGGCTCAGTCTCTGCAGGACCACCAGGCAAACTTGTGCCTATAATGCTTGATGCCAAGGAAGGCGAAGCTATACTCTCAAGTAGACCAAGTGCCTCTTTCAGTTTCCTAATTCTCCTGTCCCAGGAGCCAAATCCTTGTGGTTCCACTTGGAGCATCAGGCGAGAGGCCTCAGCTAAAAGCTTCTTCCCTGGGGGCCACTTCGCGATTTGTTTTCTAATTGTATGTTCTGCTTTTAAAGAGAATATATTTCCTTCTTTGTTCACATGTTTTAGGAGCCCGAGGATGCAAGATGGTCCCTTAAACAACTAAAGCAGTTTGCTTCAAAACACACGGGCATGAAGCCAAACTGACATACATTTCAGCTTCATAAAAAGGAAGACTATAGTTTTGTTTGAAAGCATCCCAAGGGTTTCTTTTGCCCTAGAACTTGGGATGCCACAGGAGGAATTAAGAACACAAACACTGGAGACATGGGAGATGACAAGAACAATGGAAAAATCCCAATCCCTTCCAAGGGCACTTACGTTGCTCTACAGAGATCAAACTTGTGACAACTTTGGATGTGGTACATTAAATCTCCCCCGTTGAGATACTCCATCACGAAGAAGAGATTTTCCTAAGGGTAAAAGCAAAAGAATTCCAGTATAACTTCTTAAAAGAAAAGGCACTAGGATTACTTTTAAGTGGATTAGATAATTTTGTAGGAACTAATTCTATCTTGAAATCACGTAGCAACAGACTATCCAAATACTTTAGCTGATCTGTATTTTTTAAACCTTAGGATATCTGAGGAACAGATTTGAGATGCTGTCCAATATTTGATTGAGGTTGTGTGCTGTGATCTGGCAACTGGGCACAGTAACAGTGAGAAGTCCATCAGATGGACAATGGGACAGTGGATGGTATTGGGCACTTAGCAGGTACTGATCATATGCTTACTGAAATTCTTGATGTGTAAGATGGTGCACAGAATATGTTTTGAAATATATATTCAGACTCCAAGAGCGCAGCTTATAAATGCACATTCACGCATCACTCAGTAACTAGTCACTGAGCATATTCTGCGGGACTGGTATTGTGCAGCAGTGAGTGTGGGGATTGCAGGGGAGTAAGCCTGGATGCTCACTCCTGCCTCAGCCATCAAGAATAAGTGAGACAGCGTCCAGTGCGGTGGTCTAGCGGCTAAAAGTCTTCATCTTGCTTGGGCTGGGATCCCATATGGGTGCCAGTTCTAATTCTGGCAGCCCTGCTTCCCATCCAGCTCCCTGCTTGTGGCTTGGGAAAGCAGTCAAGGATGGCCAAAAGCTTTGGGACCCTACACCCATGTGGGAGACCTGGAAGAAGTTCCTGGCTTCAGATTGTTGCAGCTCTGGCCATTGCGGTCACTTGGGGAGTGACTCATCAGATGGAAGATCTTCCTCTTTGTCTCTCCTCCTCTCTCTCTATATATCTGACTTTGCAATAAAAATAAATAAATCTTAAAAAAAAAAAGAATAAGTAAGACAAAGCTCCTGCCTTGGCAAGGTTGCAATCAAGTTTTCCCTTCTTTCCAGGGCAGGCTTTACAAGTTGCAGGGTCAAGTTACAGTTAACGGAGCATGCAGTCCCTACTGGAGATGGCCAGGCATTCATGCTACAGGTGCTGGAGCCCGGCATGGCAGCAGGGAGAGCAGACCTGGATAATCAGATGAGCTGCTCTCCCTGTTGTCACTCAGGGCTCAGGTTGTAATCACAGCATCAAAGGTAGCACTGATCCCAACTAGCCTAAACTCTTCCAACTGTGTGGGACAATATGTTTCTGATAAATATATTCTTTGAACACACTGGTTTTTCAAGGGTTCTCCTGAATCACAAAGATTAGCATTGCCTCAGGTGTGTAGACATTCGGTGTGCCTATGCATAATTCTGCACCTGAAAAATATCCCCTGGTGATTTTTTAACAAAATTAAATTTTAAATTACTACGCGAGACTAGTTGAAGTAGTGGGGGCATCTGGGGCAGCAGGGAAGGGCATCTAGGATGGCAGTAATGTTCATTGCTGGGTCTCACCGATTGGGAAGAAGTTTTGTGGCAATTATTTTAATAATTCAGGCAACGGTATATTCAACACCTGCTTTCTCAAAGTTTGGTTTTTCAGCTGGAGCACACCCTTGTTTGTTTTGGATGACAGGCATAAATTCTTGGGTGATATCAACTATCACTAATCATTGCTATTCGAACTCAACTTCAGAGTTTTAATTTGCTCCACCTGTGTGCACTTGCATTTTCACTGACATATTTTCACTGGCTCCTGTTCTCCTAAGCACTATATGAAAGTTTCTAATCTTTACCCTTTTACTCAGAAACTAGACTGGCTTCGAACAAGTCAGGATGGTGGATATCTTCCATTATGTATGTAAGAGAGTAAAAAAATAAAAAAGTGTAGTCAGATTGTTTATAATACGGCTTAGGTGAATGGTTTTTGTTTTAGTGCTAGGACATTTACAAGTTGTTGTAAAGGCTGAAGTTTCAGAACTAATTTCCTGTCAGTATGAACTTGAGGGAAGAGGAATGGTGGTGAAATCTCCACCCCTCAGTTCTGCACACCATTCCCATCTGTTCTCAAGTCTAGATTTGACTCTGTTCCTGGTGCCCAGCATTAGAGAGTTAGATCTGTGTGGGCTAGAAGGATCTACAAAATTGAAGGCTCAGGATTTGCTTCTATGGGAATGAGGAAACTGTTGCCATGATTACTAATTAAACAGTAAGATCTATAGCATGTTGGATGTGATATTTAGCCCCACTGAAAGATTTGTCAGTTCCACAATAAATCTTTCAAAAGGATCAGTTCTAATTCTCATGGTGGGATTTAGTTGGGGGCACTGAAGACTCCCAACTGACTGCCTGTTGTCTTTTATGATGGCGTTTTGGCACCAATCTAACACTTTGTTTTGGGTGAACACCCTTTGTTAGAGATATGGGCTGTTTTTAACCTGAAGTCCTGCCTGGGTGGATAGGATTGGAGGCCTGGCTATTTATCCAGGGGCTGTGGTTGTGTGCAGAAGGCTTTGGAGAACACTCACTCAGGGCCCGCTGAGGTGGCTCAGTGATGGAGTGAGCATATATGTGTGTATACTGATCACACAACTACAAGACTGGGGTTTTGAGGATCATGTATGAGGGATACATAAGTCTCTTAAAAGTTAAAGCCAAAATCCCAGTCATAGAAATGGTAACAACAAGCAAATATGGTAGGTCTAACATTTCATGAACAGCTAGAGTAAGCATGTTCAGAGTTAAATGTGATTTGCATGAATGTATCCTTAATTTCCACAAAATCCTGTCAAAGAGCAATGTTTACCACACCAGAAATATTCCAAATGAGAGTCCCCAAACCCAGAAGAAAGACACAAGGTCACTGTGAAAAGAGTGGACTTCGCTCTGACTCTGAGCCAAGCTCAAATCTCGTTTACCTTCACCTTAGAGAAAATACTTCATCTCTGCTGAGATCAAGCTCATTTGTGAAACGGAGGGTATGAGATTTCAACCTTACAGGTTGTTGTTGAGTTTTAAATAAGATCATATGTAGAAAGCTCCAAGTTGGTGTTCAGTTACCTGGTAGCTATTGTCATTAGAGGAAGCAGGCTAAAACAAAGTAAAAACATTGGTAACAGCAGCAGCAGCAAATACTTCCCGAAATAAGGAAATAGCACTGAAACAATGCAGAACACAGATAATTAATTTTATTCCTCTGCTGTCTTTTCTGTTCTAATCACTGGCTCTGAGAAATGGCTAGCAGGCCAGCAAGGAGAAAAGAGGGTTTATGTCTGGGTTAATTTTATATAACTATGCACTAGTCTAGACCTCACTTCCTTATACAGGGTAATGCAAATTCTTTTGGTGAGTGAGAAGCAAGATTGAGACAGTCTTGGGATCTTTGGTGCTGTATCAACAGGTCTCAGTTCACATGGCATTTGCTCAGAGGGTCATCACTGACCAGGTGTGTAATCATAAAAATCACACCTTCCTAGCGCTTCAGTTTCATCCTCTGAGATAAGGGATCCCCTTGACTAACTGTTCCCTTTCTAGCCTAAAGATCCCCTAATTTTCAACATACATTTCATGTCCCCTCGCCTTTCCTAGAGAAAAAGATGAAATCAATGTCCTATGACTATTAAGCCCATTGCACCAAGACCAATGTGGTGTTTTCTTAGGCAATAAAGTAAATATTAGTGGGTGCTATGCTTTCAAAATCTCTAAATGACATTTTCAGCAGATATAGTACATATTTGAAGTGTAACTAAAGAATAGAAACGTGTCTTCTCTCCTTTGGCCAAAGAGGTGGGGAGTATGGCTGTGCCCATAGTGCACCATAACCACCCTTAGAAGGTCACCAAAGAAATGTCACAGCATTTCCTCTTATTCAGGAAGTCCCCTATCTGTGCCCACAGAACTTGGCCATTGGCTGGGGGCCAAATACCTCTGTGTCCCACACATGCATTTAAGGTCCTAAGTGTCTTGGTTTGCTTTGCCATTTAAATGATTCCCATGTGAGCCAAAGCCTGAAAAGCAGAATGAAGCAAAGATGCAAGGTAGTTTAGTGCCATTGTGGGTGGGTCCTGTGGATGGCAGAATAACCTTACACTGGTTGTTGTCCTGGGATCCTGAAGGGTGCCTTTCATTTACCATGAAAGCATCCAGCAAACGTGCTCGAGAAACAACTGAGAGGATCAAGAAAAAAAGGTGAATTTTCTTCATTCACAGCAATGAAGGGTCCTTGCTTCATTTCTAGCACTCATGCTTTTTTTTTTTCATTTTACTTATTTTGGTGGCAAAAATGCACCAAATATCAGGTGATTCCTTAGAAAAATAACTTTTGTAATTGAGAGGCTGCTTGGCTCTAAAATGTCCTTTTCGGGGGAAACATATTAAGTTTCTTGGAAGTTCTATGAGTGTCAAGAGAACCTGACGTATTTGTAGCGTGGTTTTGTTAAGGCTTCCTGCTAACATCAGTCTGAGTCCTGAGAGTGAGTTGTCTGTTCATGTTTCTATTATGCACTGGTTTTCATTGATGAAATGGTGAAACACAGAGCTATTTCCATGTTGTCAATGAAGTAACTTCTAACTGGAGGTTGACAGTATAATTACATTGGGCTCATGCTAAGTGTGGATTCATTGAATGAAGATTTGAAAGCTTTGGCTTAATAAGAAAGCATTTGATGCACCATTCAATAACATGTGCTTGTGTTTCAACTTTCCGATTTACAGGGCCAGTGAAGATGGGCATGATGCTATGTGTGCTAGATCACAAAACTGGGTGTCTTTGTGTGCCTTCCCCAAAAGATGAGCTCCATTGCTACTTATAGCCTTGTTGTGATTTTCAGCTCACTAAAGGCAATAATCAAGGTGTATATTCTGAAATTAAATGGGTACCCTGATTCCTTTGTACTTGTTTTCCCTTTGATGATTTGAAAATGCACTTATTACAATCTTACAAGATCATTTAAATCTGAATATTCAATAGTCAAATAATCAACAAGACTAGCATTTCTGCAGACAGTGCTGTGTATTTGTACACAAAGTGCTGCATTTTTTCAGAGCCTCCAGGAAGATTTTTCATCACTTGACCTATGGATCT